GACGTCCTTCAAAATATATTTTTTAATACTTTGTGTAATTTATTTATTTTTTTATACGATGAACAACAGATAAATCTCGTTAAAAATTAACCCATGAAAACAATTTGGCTTATTTGGTTTGCCAGGTACCGACTAGCTGTATCGCAATAATATCAATTTTTTACACCCTTTACGATAGTCACAAAAATAATATTTTTGGATAGCTTGATCCTGAAACTAAAAAAAAGACACTCTTGGTTAATATCGCTAAAATGAACTGTTTTCGAGAAAAACCATTTTTGTTTAATATGATTTTTATTATATCCGTAAAGAGCCTATCTAAAAAACACTTTTATTCACATTTGCTTTTTCCTAAAAATAATTAAATTACACAGTATTTTAAAAGTTATTAAAAAATCGATTTTTTTTCTTTTAGGGGCCTGTATCTCCGTAGGAGGGCGCTCTAGGGAAAATTTTTATAGGATCTTGTCATGTTAATTTAACGTCCCCTGTATAAACCCGAGAGATGACCCACATATTCTGGGACACCCCCTATATCAGAATCAGAAACTGTATCCGAGTGCTTCTCGGTGATTTTTTTTCAAAGCTATTGATTACTTTTGGTTTGGAACACTCTTTATATTCTTGAATATAAACACCACGCTAACTCAACTATCTCGGATAGAGAGATGTATTCCATGTTAGCAGGTCCACATATACTTTTTATTACTGCGCAGATTTTAACAGAACTTGAGTCTTTGCGTATCTTAGGCGTTCACTTTTTTATAGCGCAAAAAGTCTTTCCCGAAACACTGTGAAATTCACAGTGTGAATACGCCCGGTATATGTGAATATACCTGGCGAACCGCTGGCGTTCGGCTACCGGTTTTTGTTTTTTATTATAATTTGTTTAATTAATATTAGTTAGTTTTCCTTTCCTTTTGCCACCGACAGGAAGAAAGGTCAATTGCATCACATTTTGGTGAGTTTATTTAGTTTAGTTTTTTTTAATAGTCCACTTGAAAAGGGCTATTTGGGCCCCACCAAACTGTCTACTTTTATTTCCTTAATTTGTTTAACAATATAACCTAGAAAATAATGCTATAGACCGGGGGTCGGCAAGTAATTTTAGGTGCGGTCCGGATACTTTTGAAAATTTTTAACGAGGTCCAGAAAAAAAATTCATATTTCTTATTTTTTTTTATTTTAATTTGGACTCAAATTTAATCTGCTTACTAATTAAGAACTCAAAACACTCACACAATTGTAAAATACTAGAAAAAATGATAAGATTGGCACTTAAACGTAAAAAACATTTTTTAAATAATTTATTTGAGTAATTTATACTTTCAAAAAATGTTTGGCGGTCCAGTATTTTACCTTCCGCGGTCCGAACCTGGACCGCGGTCCGCCAGTTGCCGACCCTTGCTATAGACCAATAATGGAATCATGAGTAGGTGTTTAGAAAAAATTATAGTCGTAACAAAAATGTATTATTTCGACGAAACATGGATAAATGAAGGACATACGGTCTCCAAGGTTTGTTAATATTTAGAAGGATTTTCTATGGGATTAAAGGCACCCCAGAGGGTGGGGAATCGATGGACTTTTTGATAATGATTTACATGTGTTCGATTCGCGACGAACAATTAATTATCATGGACAGTGAAGTATTTGAAAAATGGTTTACATCAATTTTACCTTACTTTGAAACTGGTGCAGTGATTGTTATGGATAACGCTCCTTACTGTAATCGATAAATAGAAAAATTGCCAACATCTGCATCGAGAAAAGGAGAAACCATATAATGCAAAACCTATTGAATATACAAACATATTGAAGTACACGATCTAATGTTACAGTTAAGAAGTATATTACGAATACATAAAAAACAACTAAAGTGAAACATGTATACAATAGTGAAGTTATAATAGAACCACTTATTGTAACTTTACGGCAACAGCAGTGATAGCATTAGTGACAGGAGCAGTAATAGCGACAACAGTAAATAATGATTTTATTTATCCATATAACCTTCGTTTCTAGTGTCTATTGATGTTACATCTCATTTTTCAGTGACGTTTATACTTTAAGTAGTTTTAGTTTTAGTGATTTTGTAACACCTTACTGTTTACAACAGTAAGTAAGTAGAATAAATAGTACTTTTGGAATATTTGGTTATCCAAGGTTATTACAGATTTGTAGGGATAATATGGTTTTCCCAAAATCGACATATATGTTTATTTTTTATATTTAATAATTTCTCTAAAATGAGACACCCATGGAGTCGCATTTCCTTCGTAGCACGAATCAACATGTTGAGATTGTCATTGACTATAATTTTGGGACTAGTATAAATTATCTCATTATGATCGTAGGAGGCTGCGATCAAGCGTGCTTTCAATCTTTACTACCCCTGTACAGGAGAGTAACTGCTGATATAAGGGATTAAACAAATCCTGAGAAAGCATAATATAATATATATTATCCCTGCCTCCGGTACGTAATTTCGAAAATGTACTCCTACGTGCAAACAGCATGGAAGCAATTATATCGAACCCAGACAAGTCAGGCCAAACTGGAGTTAATTTATATTCACTGGCTTACTAATTTGTTATGTATTATAATTTGCGTGGTAAATATAATTTTTGAACAACGGGTTTCGTTAGTCTCTAATTAATACAAGAGAAATAAACATACGGTGTCCCACTTCCAGTCAAATAGTCAATTTTCTATACAAGTTAAAAAAAATCTAAAAAGTTTACCTGGTCCTACCGCAATAGTAAACTTCCTCATTTTAATTTATGGTTTGTACCGATGATTCATAATTATTAGTTCACTGAATAACTGTTTATATCTTTTATATAATAATAATAACTTTTATTTTCCACTAAGACAATATTATAATTGTATGGGAATAGTCACAGCAGCAGACAAACACTTTATAAACAAGATAACGTTAATACAAAAAAACGAACACATAATCATGTTAAAAATTAGCTTTATTCCTAAAAATTTAAGCATATATTAATATATCGCCTTATCCCAAGCTGCTGTTTAATATCCTCGTTCTCATTGATTACTACTTGCTATAATGCCTCGTCACTATAGCCTTTGTTTATACTAGTTAAGACAAATTTTGTATTAACTATCCTTCCTTCTGAAATTTTAACATTTTTATCCTCTTTTAACTTATTAACCATGGATTGCTTCTGTTTATCGTCCTTAAATGTGAGTAACTTTGCCGCTGGTCAGTAGTATAATATTCTTTATGCCTCCTTGCTTTCTTGCTTCTTCTTTAAGTATCTGTTTGGCTTTTTTCATCACCTGTATCGGATTATTTTGATCATCAATTGAGATAGATGCTTGATGCCTATTTATTGCATGGTGGAGTAGTCCACGTCCTCGTCGCTAGTGTCGTCAGTGTATAGAATCTCCTATCTAGTCCTATTTTTTTTGTAATCGTCGCGTATTGTGGCTGTGCTTTCTGTCCGAGTCCGTTATATCATCACTCTGTCTGCATCCCTTGTATCGTCCGTCAGAAATGACAAACATCGTCAGTATTTGCTTTTATGGCTAAAATTGTACCTCCCAATGATTGAAAATTATGAATCGTACCACCGCGGAGCTTTCAGCTGCTCCTCCCGCGTTCCTATTATCTAAACCGATTTCCATCTTCCTTTCAGCTCGTACGGCCGTAATTACTGCCAATACCGTCTTCTCTCTTTCATCTTCTTTCACTCTACCTGTTATGTCCTTCATTTTTATATATTTCGTCCTTCATCCTGCTTATTCATTTCCGGTAAGTTACCTTCCAATCTTCCTGTATTATCACTGGTTTTTTTACTTCTATTACCTTCCCTGTTCGCTACTGAACCTGTTTGGCTTCTTTCTATTCATCCATTGCAATCGGTGTTTTTTGTCTTTTTTCTTCTTTCTTCACCTTCGCTAGTAACTGCTGAACTTGATAGGCCTACTTCGACATCTGGTGATGTTTTTTCCTTACAGTCATATCCGCGCGGATATCCAGGCGTTTCTGTTAGTAGATTTTTCCTGATCTTCTTTACTGCTTGTTGCCATCCTTTCGTCAATTATTGGATCCGAGAAACTGGGTTCTAGCATGGTAAGGTGGCATTCTCGCCAGTGTGTTTCCCTTAGATACCTCTGTTGGTTTATTCTTTGTGTCCATCGACTTTCTTTTATAGGAGCCTTTATCGTTTTTTATCGGTCTTTTCTTGAAAACTGAGTCCTTCCTACTGTCGAAATTACTAAAAACGTGACCTCCAGGTCCCGTAGATTCGGGGACCGACCTTTTCTCCAATACGACTCCCGGCGTCGTCGACGTCGAAAATGAGCTTTCGATGCCTAAATACATTTTAGAACCCGCTGATTCTGAAAAAGACGTTTTTACGATTTCGACGCCCAGCATCCCCAGGCTTCGACAGCGTCGAAATTAAACTATTATCACCCAGATGTACTTCGGTACCCGTAGTATCCGAATTCAGTCTTATTTCAAAATGTCGCGGCGACAATCGAAGCGTCTAGAGTCTATGTACGTGCCTGTATGCACCAGGCATTGCACTTAAGCTGAGGGGGCCTCACCCTTTCCTCTAATTGTATCCTTTTATAACTCGAAGTTTCGGTTTGCACCTCGGGCTTCGCCCCTTCTATGATCCCCATTTTTTGACTATAACACTAAACCCCAGTTTTACTTTCAGCACAACACGTCTGCTCACTTGTGAGACACCTAGAGTTATTGTTTTTCTATTTACATCTATTAACATGGTCTGAATTAACCCGACACGGCGCGAGCTTGAAAGCACTTAACTTGTCTAGCAGTTGAAATCTAAAATCAGTCGATAGGCACCAGCCAGCGAGAACAGTCCATGACCGTCACGAGCTCCAGCAATAGGAAAGTCGCCGTTTGAAGTAAGAGTCCAGCTTATAAAGACTGCACAGCCGCCACCGTTGACCGTAGAGGCCCAGCAATTCAGCTGAATTGGGAATTCAGTTAATGACTAATGAGCGACTACCAGAGCGAACAGTTCTATCCAGCAACCGTCTCAGCGAAGTAAGTTCCGCGCATATTCAATGCGCAAGTCTCTGGAGTTGACCGAAGACCTTGCGGGGTAATTCCACGTCGGAGTTAGATCCGTTCCACCGCTTCTGGAGAACAGGCGTACCATTGAGAGGAAAGTTTAGGTAAAGACTTGACTACTGTCTACTTTGTACTAATCATATATTTCTTTTCAGCTCTCCAGCTCTCCTACTTTGACGACTGTCGTTTCTTTCCGGTATACTTAACTTGATTACGCGTTCGGTTTCGCGTTCTTGGGACGTCGACCCCTTATTCTGTTCTATGAGTTGAAACGCAGGTCGTAACTAATATTTTCTTTCTTTTTATGTAGAGATGGTAGCTACGCCTATAGTGTAGTAAATATAGTTTTGTTTTGTTTGCTTGATCCTTTCCTCACTCCTGGTATCTGCACCACGCTTGCCGTGTTATCCTCTTACCCGCTACCGTTCTGCTAAGTGCTTGCTTTGCTTTTAGTCAGATAGTCGCTTGACACTGTACCGATGGTTTACCGTTTCCAGTCTTCACCTGCGCATTTCATAGTCACCGTCTAACCCTAGCTTTAGAGTAGTAGTGTAGGACTGTATATATACAAAATAGAGTAACCTTTAATAAAATAAATGTAAATATTTATCAAGTCTGACTTTTATTCCTGTATGAAGCCTAACTCTCTCTAGACCCCTGGACATACCAGGCCTTCACTGTAGCTGCCTAAGTAGTGGTGTTTCTGCACGGAAAATAGAAACTAGCGCCCGAGGTAATCGCTGCCGCTCAGTCGTCATAGTGGCAGACGCACTTCGCTGCCAACGAATAAACGAAGTGATAACAAGGAGTTAAGAAGAACGATGAAGGATTATGAGGAACTGGAGAGATTTCTTGGACAAATTTCAAAAAGGACATAAACGTACTGATTTTATTGTATTCGACAAGTGAAAGCCCATCGAACGTTGGAATTGTGATGTCGAAGGACATTAGAAATAGACGCCCTAAAATACATCCTCAAAAGTCCAAGGAAAGCTTGATAAGAAGAGAATAAGTCACGAGAGAATCGGGATTGGCTATAATTTCAATATTCAGGCAATGAAAACGCAATTATTATAATTGGAAAAAGAACTGGAAATTGAAAAGTGAACGCAAGACGTCAAAATAAATACTTGTTGAAATTTGTTGTTGGATTGAAATTTTCTGTCAAAAAATCTAGCAAACAATAAAATATGTTTTGGTTCATCGTATAGACGTTCTGAATTTTGGAGTAACAATAGTGGGCAACATTGTTTCAAAATTAAAGTCTATTTAATTATTGACCTTGAAGAAAAAAATCCATAATTGACATTAATACTACATATACACTATACCCTGTATTTGTGATTCCTAAAACTAATTCGTTTTAAGATACACTTCTTTAGAAAAAACAGAAGTAGTAGACAGTAGACATATTAGTTTCGTGACGCAGACAATGTAAAGATCGTAAGTTAGATGCGCTTCTGATAGCATCGTTATATGTAAGCTTAATACGTGATTCTGGAAAATAACCTCAGCGTATCCGCTGGGAAAAACCTCCTCGTTTCTCTTCTTCGCAGTAAGATTAATACGAGCGGTTGGAATTAGATTGTCTAGATCGAAGTTTTGGGATTGCTGTAACCTTGAGTACCTGTGCCAAATGGATATTTCTAATTATGAAATATCAAGATCGAATTAATTTTTATAAATATAGAATATCTGGGAACTACGCATAAAAAAACGTAGGAGATGATTGTACTCATCAAATCAATGCTAATGAATTTTGATCAAAATAATGTTGAATGTCAGCATCAGGATTTATATTATTGTTAGCTCGGAGTCTACTAAATTCGAAAATTAAGTATTCTTTTATATGTTAAAATTATTTCAATAAATTTTATTGGAAACAATTTTAATGTTTTTTTTTAATTATGGGATGTTATTAGATTTATCAGTATATAATAATAAATAATACCTATCATTTTCCAATATTATTGGTTTTTTCACTTAGATTCACCGCTGAAAATCTGAAAATATTCTTTTCATTCAGCATACAATTCAATATTGTATATAGTCTCCAAAAGAAAATAAAAATTGATTATGACTCACTAAAGCCAAAAGCCTTGAACTAAAAATTTGAGTTTACTATGAAATTCTTTACAAGTTGTATAATAAATTTTCTGTGTTTCCAAAACCAAAAAAAAAAGTTGCAGATAATCAAAACTGCAACTTTTTTTCAATCTATCAACAGAAAAAATAGAGCTAGTCTGTGAACGTCATTAAATAAGATCTAAGGATCTACAACTTTCTTTGTTCAACCGTTTTTCTATTTCTTATAGTTTGTGACGTTGTTTATTTCCTTCGTCGTCCGTCACTATGACGCCTGAGCGGCGGCGGTTACCCTGGGCGCCAGTTACTGTTTCTAGTACAGAAACACCACTACTCGGGCGGCTACAGTGAAGGCACGGTATGCCCAGAGGGTGTAGAGAGAGTTAGACTTCACACAGGAATAAAAGTCACAAATTGGTAAATATTTACATTTATTTGCAGTTCTATTCCAGCTAAATACACTATTCTTCTACTTCCTTTCCTGGGCACGTCTGGTCGGTCGGAACGCTGGAGCGCAACTAACTCTGTAGTATGTAGTACAATTACCTCGTCTCGTCAGGTCTCCTGTCACCTCAAGAATCTTGCGCATCGGATATACGCGGAACCTAACTTAATTCGGCGGTCTTCGGACTGGAGTGGTCTTGGCGACGGCTGAAGATGAACTGAATTTCAAAATTCAGTTTCTTCGGCTCGGATTGGCGGCTGCGCAGTGGATTAATTCTTCGAATGCAGCTTGTTTGCTGTATTCATACGGCGAATCCTGGCGACTGCGCAGTTTCCTCAGGCTGGACGTAGCTTTGGATGGAGCGGCTCATGGACTCGACTCTTGGCTGCGACGGCTGGTGTTGAACTCAACTTCCACGGCGGCTTAATTTCCAACCCCTGATGATGCTTCGGCAGCGGCTGCGTTGTTCTCACAAGAGGGACTTGTAAAATTCTTACTATCCTGCGACGGTAACGTATCTGCTGGCTGGAGCTGTTGGCCGGCTCGACTCGTTGATGCGGCGGCTGGAGACAGATTGAATTTCATGAAGTCGGCTAGCAGGCTATCGACTGCGCGCTAACGCGATGTCGGGTTGATACAGGCGGCGTGGCGTGAAAAATGCAAATGTCATTGTGGTAATCTACATTTAATTAAAACACACAAATGCAAGGTGTCGAAAAATCACTTTGTTACAAGTATATACTTTCATTTATGTTCTCAGAATATTAGAGGACGGTAGTGAATTCACATAAGAGCCTTCATAAATGATTACAAGCCACGTCATCACCGAGCTTAGGCAAACCAATATTGCATTGGTACCGTCACCTAAATTTCTAAATCTTAAGCAGGATTTACAATGTATCACTTTTGATGTACATCCAAAGTGAATCATTCACAGTGAAAGCGTCCTGGGTAATCATCCTCGTTTACATATTTTCATCCAATTTACTGGTTTCACATCCCGCGCACTGTCACTGTTCCTATTTCGTGTCTGTGAAAAGTAAAAGGACAACTAGTAGTGGTACCAGGTGGCAGGATGTGTCATTCCAGAAGGAATGCAAAGATTATCCGCGGAAGCATTGACTTAATTTCACGTGGACTGATACATGAACTTAATTCAATTATATCGATAACTGAACGTCCTGAAAGACGTTGGTGGGTGAAACTATGGGTTTCAAGGAAGGAGAAAAAATCAAGGAGCTTCGTAAAACAAATTTAAATTCAATCAACCAAAACAAACACAAAAAACAACAATAGAGATTCGACTGGCGGTTGTGAAGTGAACAATGGCGGTTTACGTTTTTCACTCGGCATTCACTCTGATGAATCATCGGTTCGGGGAACGATTCTTTCATCAAAAGTTGGTCGGGGGTCAATATAATTCATCCTTCATCTTTAGTGTACACTTTGGATGAAACCAAAATGAAAGGCAATTTACACATATCACTTTGGATGACTCTGCCAAGATGATCATCAAAAGTGACACATGTAAATGAGCCTTTTAGCGTCACCAATATTAATGATTCGTTTACAATGAACCGTTACGTCCACGCTCGAAATAATGCAATCGTTGGTTGGTTGAATAAAAATCTAGTGCAAAATTGCACCAATCGCCAGGCGGTGGAACAGAATGTTGTGTTATAATATAATCTTGGCTTACTATTTTAAATTTAATAAATTTAATTACCCACATGAAGGAGATAAAATTATTGTTTCAAATAAAATTACTAGTCACGTGGATTGTAATCATTTATGAAGGCGCTGTATAACAGAACTTACTAAACATTAAAATAATAAATCAATTCGATAAACTGTTGCATCCTCCTCGCTTATTCCATTAGCAACAAAACAAATTAAAATATGTACCAATTGATTTGGAAATTCATTCGATAAATCGATGTATCTATACAAACAAACCTTATATTTAGAAAAACGTAAATGAAAAGCTATTAACGAAGCGACAAATAGTAATCATATTATCCCTGCACAGTAGCTAAAATATTATATCATTAGAATAAATATTTTTTAATTGTCATTGATACTACATCGACCAATAACTAAAAAGAACAATTAAAATGTGTTAAAGTAAAATGTGAATACTTCACATACCAAACTAAATCTAATGAAAGACCAAGAAAGAAAGAAAACAGTAATTTTAGCAAAAATGCAAAATAAACATTCTCATTAAGATTCTTAAAAAATACGCATATACAAGAAATTATTTTGATGCCAAATCGCCAGTAGAAATGTTAAGTGACAGACCCTGTACAAAGTTTAACAGAACATAGAAGTTATTAGGTCACTGTAATGCCCTTTAAGTATTCTTTACAGAATTTGTCGAGGCTGTATAGAATGCGCCAATTTGGGGTTTAATAGCGAAAACTTGTAAATACTTTATTATGAA